GGTGTTCTTCCACTTTCAATACGAATGGAAAGTAGTCCTGTCAGAGGTGAGAAGAAAAGCAAGGTAAATACATTCCTGAATGGGAGCCTGATTTAGAAAACAAATCTTTAGGGACACAAGCCCCAAACCTGATCTTAGTATGTTATAAGTTGTTCAGGGAATATCTTATTAATTGTAAATAAATTAAAATAAATCCACTATTTAACCATAGGAAAACAAATAGGCTGTGTCTACACCGGCCGCAAGTTCTTGCGCAAGAACACTGACAGTTCTAATGTATGAAATCAGTGCTTCTTGTGCAAGAACTCTGATGCTCCCGCTCAGGAGTAAGCCCTCTTGCGCAACTGTTCTTGCGCAAGAGGCCAGTGCAGACAGGCAACATGAATTTCTTGCGCAAGAAAGCCCTATGGTTAAAATGGCTATCAGAGCTTTCTTGCGCAAGAGAGTGTCTACACTGGCACGGATGCTCTTGCGCAAAAGCACATGCCAGTGTAGATGCTCTCTTCTGGAAGAAGTTTTGCACAAGAACTCTTCCGCAAAAGAGTTTTTGCGCAAGATCATGCCCGTGTAGACGTAGCCATAGTGATTATATAGGACCTACAATGGCTTAACAGCAGTTCACTAAATTCACTGAGTTCTCTGCTGCTGTCTCATTCTATGTGGCTTTGTCTAGACTGGCATGATTTTCCGCAAATGCTTTTAATGGAAAAGTTTTTCACTGACGCTTTTGTGCAAAAGCCCTTTTTGGGGAAAAGAGTCCGTGCCAATCTAGACGCGGTTTTGTGCAAGAAAGACCCGATCGCCATTTTTGCCATCGGGGCTTTTTTGCGCAAAACAATACTGCGTTGTTTACACTGGCCCTCTTGCACAAAAGCATTTGCGCAAGAGGGCTTTTGCCTGAACGGCTTCCGCAAGAACACTGACAATCTTACATGAGATCGTGAGTGTTTTTGCGGAAATTCAAGCGGCCAGTGTAGACAGCTGGCAAGTTTTTCCACAAAAGCAAATGCAAATTTGCCAGTCTAGACGCAGCTGGACTGTATAGGGCCTAGAACAATGGGCCCGCATTCTTGGTTGATCCCTTGGAACGACCATAAAGTCCAAGCAGGGGACTAATATTATGCTGGCAGAGATTGTATCTGAAGTACACAAGCTTAGACACATTCTCATTGCTATTGCAAGAGGAGAACAAGTTTAGCACTAAGGGTGTGTCTAGACTACAGGGTTTTTTTTTTAAAAAAAAATAGCTTTTTCGAAAAAACTTCACCTGCATCTAGACTGCAGCTGCATTCTTTTGAAAGTAAATTGAAAGAACATGGCAGTTTTTTCGATCACAGTAAACCTAATTTTACAAGGAATAATGCTTTTTTGAAAGTACTAATGCAAACTGTGCTTTTTTGAAAGTGTGTCTAGACAGTGCTATTGAATGCAAACTGCTTTTTTGAAAGTGTGTGTCTAGACACTCTTTTGAAAAAGCAGCTCACTTTTTTGAAAAATCTGCTTGTAGTCTAGACACTGTCTTTCGAAAGAGGCTTGTAGTCTAGACGTAGCCAAAGCATTTGCCCATGAGGTTTTGGGAAGAACGATGGGAGACAGATGGGTTGATTCACATGGAACAATGAAACTATTTGAGGCAGGAACTTGGTGTGTCACGGGGAACTTTATTTTTGAAAAATATTGTATATGGGGGATGTGCCATTAGGGCCCCCAGTTCTCCCACTCAGGCAGATGTGGGAGACGAGGAAGGCCACCTTCACGAAGAGGTGATGTCAGCACATCGTCGGTGGTTCAAAAGCGGACTGTTTGATATTACAGCACCAAACTGATGTTTAATGATAGAGTGTGTGTGTGGCGCTTGTATTTCAGGGTAGTGGTTGCCAAGACCCTTGAGAAAACGTTTAACGGTAGGGTGGGAGAAGATCCATCTGAAGCCAAGGGCATTGGTTGCACATCATTATGTAACTGCCAGATGTGGTGCGAGGCAGAGACAGCTGCTAAAAATCTCCAATGACAAGTGCAAGGGCACATATTCACCTAAAAATGGAGCACCCACAGGGACATTCCTAGAACATACCAACATGCCTTTGTTAAAGAATCACCCTTCTCACTAGTATAAGGTGCAAGTGCTAACAGTCTACATTCTCCAACATCCCCAACAAGTCTTCCAGCAAAGACCGGAGCTGCCATCCCTAATACCCTTAAAGGGCAAATTAAAAAACAATAAAACCAAATCACATCTTAAATCCTAGCTAGAATTTTCCACGTCATGGGGATAATACAAAAACGGCTATTAATGTCTTCTCTATGTGCTTGCTCGCTGCAGTCATCTGCTACATCTTGTATTTCAGATTATAGGCAGTTAGGGGCAAGAACTTTCATTTTCTGCATTTTTACACAGTACTTAGCTTAATGGGGATCCAATATGTGTACTATCACACTCTAAATTTTAAGTTCCATTTTTTAAGTCATTTGTATATCACTTTTAAGAGCTTTAAGTGGAACAGACTGCAAAGTAGTAAGTATACACAACTACCCACACACCAGTATGTGTTTTAGTTTTATAAAACACTAGTGCACATTCTAGCGGGTTATACCTATGCAATTGCATTGCCGTGAGGCTGAATGGGTGTAATTAGATGCAGAAATTGGTCCCTTTAATTAAGAGTTTACAACATTTTAATAAGTGATTTAATCTCCTATAAATAGCTAAAACAATCCTAAGCGCAGGTATATAAGCAAATCTCCTATAAATAGCTAAAACAATCCTAAATGCAGGTGTATAAGCGTATTCCACCACCTTATTAATGCAAAAAGTTATATATATTGGTTTATGACTGGAGGAGCTTCATCTTCCTGTGATTTAAATCCCAGGCAGCATTCAGGTTGGAAATTACCCTAGATGGGTTCCAGCACTCTGTAACTCAAGGTCGTCTAAATGCTGTGTTCTGCTCCAAACAGTAAGCCTGATCATGATGAACTGCATAAGGCCATCAACAGAAATTTAATACCGTATTTTCCGGCGTATAAGGCGACTGGGCGTATAAGACGACCCCCTAATTTTCTAGTTAAAAAATAGGTTTTCGTCTTATACTCGCCTTATAAGACTACCCCCCCTTAAGAGGCCAACCGACAGTGCCCCAGCGCCCCTCCGCCTCCCCGGCTTTGCTCCTGGTGCCTCTGGTCTGCTGGAGACGGTCCCCAGCAAACCGGGGCACCGGGAGCAAAGCTGCAGCCGTGGTGGGGTCCCGCGCCTCTGAGGCTTTGCCAGAGCAAAGCCTCAGAAGCACGGCAGACGGGGAGCAGCTTTTCTCGCCCCGGAGTACACAGGCGGTGGGACCGCGAGGTCCCGCAGTCCGTGTCCTCCGGGGCGAGAAAAGCCCCATTAGTACCTGGAAGTCGGGGACTGCCTGTATACCCGGCGTATAAGACGACCCCCGATTTTTTGGGGATGTTTTTTAGCATAAAAAGTCGTCTTATATGCTGGAAAATACGGTACACTGTCAGATAGTTGGTGATCTTCAGCGAGAGCATTTTAGAATGCTTCTTACCACCCTGGAGAAAGTCACAAATAGCCCTCATGTAAAGGCAATATCGGAGGGACTGTAGACCTCTGCATGTGCAGATCTATCTTAAAAAGAAAAAAAAAGCTGCATTTTATGTTGCTGCTCTTTAAACTGTTGATAGCACGAAAGCTAGTTATTCCTGTGATGGATTCCACCAAAGTTATTATTTGTCTTCCCTGAGACATATTATTGCTTACCAGTAATCGTAGATTCCTGAAGACTGTGTCCTCTCCAGCACTACATTGCTAAAGTACTCTGAATGCCGTGGAGTTGATAATTTAGTAAAAAAACAGCCAGAAATATGAAGATATAACCCACTTAACCAAATGTAGGTTTCCTTAAAAAGGAGTTCTATATTTGAAACCTAGGCACTCTGTAAGACTATTATGGGATTTTAGATTTCAATTTTATGGAATGATGTCCAAAACTAACAATGCATCCCTGGATGACAACTATATTATTTTTAACTGTAAAACCTACTCTTTCTGTCCACATAGCACTGACTGCCTGGTACAATTTCAAGGTACAATTTTAATTTTTACAAAAAGTGGTTAAAGAGAAATAAATATGTAGGTTTCAATTCTGGTGTAACAGTAAGGTGTTTCCAGTCTGAAAAATAAGATGTAAATTTTTAGCAGTGAGAATAATTAATCAATGGAACAATTTACCTAGGATTGTAATGGATTTTCAATCACTACATTTTCAAAGGAAGATTGGATGTTTTTCTAAAAGGGATGCTCTAAGAATTATTTTAGGGAAGTTCTATGGCCTGTGTTATCTAGCGGGTAAAATTAAATGACCATAGTGATCCATTTTGGCATTGAGATCTATGAATTCTATTGACTTTTGCTTGCAGTACACGCTAAAAGAAGATAGAGTTCATGCTTTAGCCCACAATATAGAAAATACAGGTCAACCAGCTCGTGCCAGAAACTAGATCTAACAGCAGAGATGTGTGCTATTATCTGTCCCTCCCTTCAGGAAATACATTTTTACCATGTACAGTGGCAATTAGCCTTTCCATTAAGACAAAGCCAATATTTCAAATGAAGTCCAGTTTTTCTGGAACAGAAGTTCTAAAAGACTAATGGCTTAGTCTGGTAAGCCATTATATCTGCTGACAAACTAATACCATGTTTCCAGTGTTACACAAATGATGTGGCAACGTATACTTGGGAAAAAATATTTAGCTCAGCAGTTAAAGAGAGACAATCTCAGCAAAGATCTGTCAAGTGTATCCTTTCACAAAGAATATGCATATCTTGATCTGGTGTCTGATGACTTCCTCACCCTTCCTCAAAACTCTTGAAAATATTTGTTCCTCGTGCTGCGATTATGTAAACTCACTACACGGATGTAGGACTCCTGTCTTGTATAGGTCAGGAAGATAAAAGACAACTTGTCGTCTTTTAGAGAGAAAAAACAGAGACACGGATATAGAACTTGAAGTATATTTTTAATTTCATTAAGTTCCCCTCATAAGGAATAAGGGATTTTTTTTCAAAAGTAAAGAAATCAGAGTTTGTAGATATGTACAAAAATTTCACTGATATTTTTAACCACCACCTACTTCTGAATAACAAATTTGCTGTAAGTAAACAGATTATAAAAATGCTCAGTAGTGCATGTTCTATTAGGACAATTAAATGTAATACAGTATTTAAAATAAAACTCCTAAAATACAGAGTGACTCCCTTTATAAAGCTAATAATTGCTGATGTGAACCATAAAAATAGAACATTCTAACAGTATGCTTTGGATTGGTATAATTACTAGTTGACAGTATTTCTATTGCACCCCATTTTTCTAGCTTTAAAAAGTCAACTCTCGCCTGAAACATGACAAAGTTATAGACTGGGTGAATTTTTTGTTTTTATCGTATGTAATATGGCAGTGTTTAAGATTCTGGATGCCTTATGTCATGTGTAGCACTCAAAATAGTGAAAATTTAATATGAAATAATCCGTTTAAAATTATGGATCTGCATCAAATAACGTTGCTGTTTTGAGTTAGCCATGACATATTCATTCATGATTCTGATTAGCAGGTTGCAACTTAATTAGAAAAAGTTCTGTTAACACACATGACCTGCTAGAACACAACTTTTTATAGCTTCAGTTGAATATATTTCAAAAACTTACAATGTATGGATTTAAAAGATTGTGGGTGTTTTTTTAAGCTACCCAAAGTGTCAGAAGGGTGTGATCCTAACTTTTGGAATTAAGAGCCCAATTTGAATCTGTGTTTGAAAGCTGGATATTCATACATCTATTAGCTCAGTTCTAGTTATCCAAGGATCTTGCAAACTAAACACACCCTGTTATCTATGCACATAGAGTAAGTGGAGTGTGACATTTTTAACCGTCTATTTGAATTTCTTCTGCATGTTTCAGGTGAGAACCTAAAGGCTAATCTTAGTAATTTAATACTATCAAAAATGACTGAATTAACAAAAAAACCTGACAACTTTCACATTTCAAAGCTCTTGATGAGATAAAAAATAATTCTCACTATTGCAAAACATTTGAGAAAAGTAAACAATCTCAAAATAGTACAGAACATTAGTAAAGCAAGCTATTATTTTACATTGCAGTACTCATTAGCACTGATAAAGCTATATTAGTCAGCTTTTCCATTATAAATGCAGATTTTAGGAATTACTGCTGTTTAAATAAAAAAATCATTTCCCAGTATACAAATCCTTAAACAATGGAAAATGTATTTACAAGTACATTTAAATCAGTTGAACCATAGTTTTGCAAGAAGTTATTCAACATTCCTCAAATTTTGCAAACCATTTATCCATAATCTGGACTCACTTTTGGTATTAAATTTCCAAAGTAAAGTACAGTAGATATTTTGTATTAAGCATATCACTTTTGTATAGCAAAGCCATATAACAGATTAATAAACAAACTGCACAATATTTTTCTATGGCAGAAGCGTACATTCTAACCTAGATAATAAGGTTTCACTTACGAACATTTTGAAAAGGGCCATTATGATTTATTCTGACAAAACTACTTTTCATGTCTATTTTCATGGACTGATAATGTTATTCAAAGATTTATAATGTTCAGCTTCAAAGATGAACTGACGTGGCACGCTCAGCAGCACGAATTGAAGTAGGACTTCCTAGAAGCAATTTTTTCTGAAGTCTTAAAACATTGTGCTAATTATCACAAAGAAAATCACTTAGAACATTCACGTTTTTAGACAAGTCGCATATTAAGAATCAATTCTGTTTCATCCCCCTTTTCTTTGCACATTGTACCTAAGTATTACAATCTAAATGGTGCACAATATCTCACCCTTTTCCTCATACCTCTGTAATATCGAGGTACAATGGGATGAGCATTAAGACAGAATGGCAGTCTGTTTTCATCAACTTGCTACTGCTACGTTTAAGTATGTACAAGACACCATTGAGTTGATCTCCAGCATTTAAAAATAAGCATTTTAACAAAATATACAAATGGCAGCCTTTACAAATATTTTTCTTCAAAGTTTTACAATTATCAGCATTTATTTCAAAATAACGGGCAAAGAGCCCTGCAATATTTATAGGGCTACTTTGAGACAGTACAGATTGTTGCACACTGAAAAGGAATACCAGCATATTTACAGAAATATAATTCCATGGCTTGGAAAATTTGATTCAAATAAAGTTAGTCTTCATAGTTGGTTACCGTAGCACTGGCATAAGGAAAAACCCCCATTTTGAGTTGCGCTCAAAATGTCTATTTGTGTATATGCAGTCAGTGTAATGAATCCATCTCTAATACGCAAATTTTCACCTCAGTCAGTGAAAAATGTAACTTGTGATACTCATAGACTAAAGGTATTTTACAACATTTACATAGAATTACTAAACATTAATCAACATTGCTGAAGAGACATTTTCAGCTATATCTGCTGCTTTCACTGGGGCTTCGGTTGTTAGAATAACTGCGATCACTTTCACTGTCAGAGCCGTAAGATCTACAATTAAAAAAAAAGATTAAAACTCCTTACAAATCAGTTTTCTATCATTTTGTTTTAAGTTCAAAATTATGGCAAGCTAAATCTTATGAGATAAGTGTAGGTAAGAAGAAAAAAAATTCTGTGGAAACTTCCACAGGAACACAATGTATATCCACTGAAAGAGAGATCATTTTAATAAAGGTTCATTATTTCAAAGCAAATTTATCACATTCTAAATAGTGTGCTACAAACCTAAAGCGAAATCCTGTTGCAGTGAACTGAACAAGGACTTTGCCATTAACTTTAGTGTGGCCAGGATATCGCCCACAGTAACTAAATGTTGTTTTGTTTGAGTTCAGTGAGCCAGCACAGGCTGAACAAGTTATATCCTTTTGCATGAGCTTAGAGCTGTTTTACCTTGTGTTTTCTCCACGGGCCTAATCCCACAAAACCCTTACGTCATGTGAATAGTATCAAAGGCAAGTTGGGGTTTGCAAAACTGGGCCCCTGAAATGATAAAACTAGGTTTTGGAAATATCAGCTTTTAAAATGAGCATAGGCACTTCCCACCTATATAAACCCAAGATGTTGAGTCCTTGGCCAATGGACAGGATGCAGCTTGTTTGATGTTATTTTTTGGTTCTCTTGATTGTGAAGAAAACTTTCCAAATGCAAATAAGTGTACCATGATCCAATTTTATCTTCCTGATATTTACAGGCAGCCTGAAACAATAATTCAGAGGTGTCTACTTCCCACCCTGCATTAACCTCATGAGGGTGTCAACATTCATGCATAACGAAACATGGCTTGTCTACATGTCTCTAGGGTAAAAATTCTAGTGTTGTGAACTGACTGACATTGACCCAGCTGGTGCACATTAAAAGTTCCTTAGTGCACAAAAGGAAACTTTGAGCACATACCAACAGGGTCTATGCAGGCCAGGCAGCATGCAACACATTACTGAATGTTAGAATTCACACCTTATTGATTTGCAGTACTGCATCGGGTAGAAAACCCCTAAGTTACCAGTGCAGGAAAAGGGGAAGAGGTGGGAGTGATGTCCACAGGCTAGAAAATGGGAACTGTTACAAGGAGAGAAAAATAGAGGAAACAAGAAAATTGGGTAATGAAAAAAGAAAGGAAAATGGAGAAGAGAAAAAGGGCAGAAAAAGTGATGTTGCTAAATACTGGAATATTTTCCAACCAAGTGATGCTGGTTAAGAGAAAAACTAAATCTGAAGTTACTAGGTAAAGAGCATATTCCACCACTGATCTTTGTGCAAACCTCCCACAGACATCTGAGGACTGGAATTGTCATTCCTGTTAGCTTTTTATCTCCCTTTCACAAGCTTTTGTATTGACATTGAGGTCTACCTAAAAAGTATCTACCATCCAATGGAATTTTGGTTTACAGTCCTTTATAGATGTGGCATTTAAGCACAAGCATGGTTAAATTTAAATTCTGCAATTATTATTTCTGATTTAGCCAATGGGAATTAAATGCCAGATTTTTAAAAAATACATACATGCATGTGTGGAGATGAACTTATGCACATATACACACAAAGGGTTACTACACACAATAGCAAAATCCCGCTCCCCTCCTCCTTCCTTTAGAATTCTTGAAGTAGAGATTGTGTGTGTTTTGTTACTTCTTTCTATTTTTAGTTCTTGAGCTACTGTAAAACAAATTTGCTAGTAACAGTACATTTTATACTTGAAAAAGACTATATCTGTTGAAATCTTGTTCCTTATAAATTTCCAGTAAAACACCTATGGACATTAATTGTGGACTGTTAAGTTTAAGAAGTTGTGGCACTGAAAAATTACATACCTGGACCGTCTGTCATAACTTCGAGATCTGCGGTAGCTGTCACTCCTCGGACTTCTACTTCGACTACGACTTCTGCTATAGTAACTATCATAAGTATATGACCTACTTTAACAGGGAAAAAATAATTGAAGACTTTGGAAAGTTCTTTTCTAGAATGATAAAAATTAGAGTTTTGGATGTTTCTTGAATAAAGGAAACATTTTTCTTGCTGTATCCTTATTACTACTTCAAGGATTTGGCAAACAAGCTAATTGTCAATTTAATAAATGTTTAACTGGAAGAGTATAAGTTTCTTCACAAAGCAGCAGTTTACCCAAATAAGTCTTTCACTTTTAAAAATAATTCAATATATTTTAAATAAAGAATATTTTATAAATCTGTCTACAAATTTTGCATAAAGTATCAAGATTATCAAACCTTAACTTGCCTGTTTGAACACATTCTTGCAAAAATAAATTGCAACAGAAAAATTTATGGGGATTTAAAACAATAGGACAAAAAGCTGAAAGCAGCAATAAAGGACGCCAATCAATTAAATCCTCTCCAGGGTTTAATACCATGCCCATGACCCTTTTTAAATCTCTTTTCCTCTTTTAAAAAAATTCTGTTTTCAGGATGTTAAGTTTGCTATAATTTGGCTTACTATCAAGCTGTATTTTAAACAATATTACTGCCTTAATATATTAGCTCATTGTAAATGTTAGTTTGTTCCCCATGTTCATGTAATATCATAATCCATACCTAGATCGACTGTGATGATCATATGAACTGCTTCTGGATCGACTTCTACTATAGGTTCGACTGTGACACAAACAGGAAATACATATTAACCATTACATATGGACCAAGGACTGAATTTGAAAAAAATTTCTAAGTTACTTGCTTGATATTCCTTGTCCACACTGCATGACATTTAACATAATTATTCTCCAAAATTAAGCAGTTACCAACCTCTGTATTCTTAAAAAGCATACATTTTCAGAGTAGGTTGCTCCCAGGATGCATTAGCATAGCTACAACTCAACACCTCAAACTCAAACTAATTTAATTAGTTTGTCTGTGTCTGACAGAAACTTATCTATCACTTAGGTTAAGATTTTGTCAGGGGAACTTTTCAAAGTCATGGACAATAAACAAATTCACAGAAGCCAATGATCTGTCAGTGAGTGAGGGACTGACAAGTCCAAACCTGGCTATTCGGGGTGAAGGTTGGCGGAGAGCAGTGTTCCCTCTAAGATTTTCCATCCATGAGCAGAGTGAGTTTTGTCATGTGCACCAATATTGAGGTCATTGTTCAGATGTGTGCCACCAATGCACTCTATCTACCTACCTATCTATAGTTACAGAAGAAAGAATACTAAAACAGCCCTTTCCCAGTCATAAAGAATAAAAAGAGATGTTAAATCAGAACTTTCACCCAAGCATCCTTATCATTATGGCTGACCCAAAGTGTCATGCCATCAGTTACAGATAAGGTAAAAAGACATCACCCCCTTCACATACTTGCAAAGTTTGAACAATAAGCCATTTTTCTTAAAGACCTATGTTGTGCTGCTACACAACACCAGTAATAAATGGTGGCACAAATCCCAAACAATCAAACCTTGGGAGAAAGATTTCAGGACCTTTTGTCCCCAGCACCTTCAATTTTTAGGCAGCTCTATTCTCCTGCTCAACCAGCACAGCAGGGTGTCTTCGGCTCTGACAAATGGCTCAGCACAGCGTGGTTATGAAATGCACAGGGGATGAACTAGCAGGAGAGACGGGCAGGGAAGGGAACATGTGTTTACAATGTTGTTTCCATTAACATTTGGGGGCCAGCTCAACACATTTTAGGGATTACGTTTCAAATCAAACTTAGGACTGGACAGGACGCAGAGGAGAGACAGGGAGCAGCAGGGTGCCTGCCCCCAAGGAGCTTAGAACATCTGTTGTTTATGATGTATTTTTGCTACCAGGCTCCCTCGTATCTCCCAGCCTTGAGTGTTGGGCCACTTGCTGCCAGTCCAGCCCCATGTCCTGATCTTCCTGGCCCCGGGGCAAAGGATAAGCTGGCAGCTGCTATGTCTGGGGAGGGTCTGTGGTGGGGACAGCCAGGGGTGAGGCCAGAAGCCCGTGGCCCGATCTGGAGCGGGCAGTTACGTGTGAACCAACTGCCTCTGGAGTAAGGGTTGGGCGCTGGCTGGCTGCACAGCACAAACTCCTCGGTCGCCACCTCGTCCTGCTCCTGGGTCACATCCAGCAGGCACACCCACAGTCGGCCAGAGGTGGCTTCCCTGCTGCAGCCGTGGCAGCTCCTGCTACTGAAGCAGCCGCTGCCTATCACACTGTTCAAGCTCTGGCCCCAGCTGAGGGTGCTGGAGCAGCTGCTTCTCGCCATGTGGCTCTGGCCCCGACCAAGGCCACCGGAACTGTTGGTGGGCAGCTCTGGTCCCAGCTGGGGTTCCGGAGCAGCTGCTGCTTGCCACATAGCCCGCAAATCCCATCCTGGGAAAGGGCTGAAGCTAAGGCTAGGGCTGCATGGTGGTTGCCCTGCTGCTTCTGGGGCGGGGCAGCCACCCACCACATGGCCTTCTCCTGGAGCAGCTGAACAGCCACTGCCCAGCTCTGCTGAGGAACTGGGCGGGCCTCAAATTCTTGGTGTGCACCTGTACAGGCACACACCTTAGAGGGAATACTGGCTGAAAGCCTTTCCCTTCCAGCTCCTGGAGTGGGAGCTTAGAGCTGCTCCAATTCCAACACTTCAGGCTGCAGGGAGAGAGAGAGGGAGAGTGAGAGAGAGCGTGTGTATATAGGGAGGCAACGATCTGAAAGCCACTCCAGCTGTGTTGCTCCACGTCCATGTGGGGGTAGGGGCCAAGAGCCACTCCAGCCACAGAGGGTTGAAAGCCACTCCAGCCCCTGCTGTTTTGGTGGGGTTCAAGGTAAGGACGTCATGGACATCCATTAAAGTCACAGAATCCATGATCCAGTATTCTTACCTATGACTCTTGTAACTGTGATAAGATCTACTTCGACTTCTTGACCGATCTCTACTATACCATCCTCTGCTTCGGCTTCTTGTATAGCTTCTTGATCTGTAATTGACCAACAACTTTAAAAAGAATATACTAAAACAGAAATAAAACTAATAGTGACAGAAACAGAACAACACTTTAAGATAGACTTGTTAAAGTGCTTTCTTGTAAACTAGTTAGTGAAGAGATAAATGGCTAGTTTCTAATTAGCACATTACTGTTGGAAACTGAGAGATCCTGTCAACTCAGAACTTGCACTTCTATCTCAAATTTGTTTGCTTACTCTAAGTAAAACTGTAGATTAATAAAATAGATTACATAACAAATTGCTAACCTGTATGAGTAAGTGGAACTTCGTGATCGACTTCTTGAATGACTATAGGATAGTGATCTTGTTCTATGTCTGGATTTAGATTCAGATTTACTTCGTGACCTACTTAGACTCCTGGACTGGCTGTGGTCATCTCTACTTAAAGGAGACTGTTCATCACTTGAAGTCTCTTGGTTCCTTGGTCTTCGATTTAACCGTGCTGTCTTTCTAACTTCATCAAAAAGAGATCCTGGCCTGACTTTATTTTTACTTTTTATTTCTATTCTTAAACCTTGTGGTTTAGAGTCAGGTGCTGAAGTACTGTTTGTGACTTCTGCAGCAGTACTAGTAGTAGCAGACTGTAGATTTCCTACACCCTGTAAAGGTTTCCATTTATTATCTATCATATTGCTTTGTATATTTTCTGTTATTTCAGTTTTCAAAGAGTTTTCCACAGTAACAACCATGGTGATGGAGCTACTGTCTTGTATTCCTACTTTTTTTACTTCTTTAACATTTATCAAGTCTTTATTACTGTTTCCTTGTTTGGCTGTGTCTGGACCAGGACTCTCATTTGGTAAATCTTTGTTTACACTAACATTTAAAGACTGAGATTTAGCACTCTGGATGACAGGAGACAAAATGTCCACAATAACCTTCCCCGGGGAGTTACGATCCGGAGTACAAATCTCCATGTTGTCATCTGTCTGCATAACATCCTCTGATCCATTTTGTTTACTTTCTTCAATATGTTTAACACCTTTCTTTGAAGTAGCTAAATTTATTTCTGGATATAATGTACTGGCTGAGTAGTTGTGATCACTGTTGTCTTTATTAAGGTGACTATGATCTGATGATGTATTGCATGTAGTGCTCTTTTTCAAGAGACTTTCATCTTCACCCGACTTTTTAGCATTTCCAGTTTTATCTTTGTACACTTTCTTGTTTTCATGAGCTTCTTGGTTTTTATCTTCACTATCCCTGGTAAGTTGCTTTTGTTTTTTATTATCTTTTGTAACGGGCTTTTCATTCATATCCTCCTCTTCCTCCTCCCCATACTCCAGTGGGGGCTGCCAGTGAAACAGCTCTTTTTGTTTCTGAACTTTATGCTTCTTCTCTTTTTTGTCCTTTGATTTCTCTTTGGCTTTTTTGGAATGTGACTTTTTGAGGTTCTTTTTGGAACCATGTTTATGGTTTTTTGGCTTTCCTTTAATATTTGCCAAACTGGAGTGGGAATTTTCAGATGCAGAAGAGGAGGACTGTTGCTTGTTTGTCTTCCAAGTATGATCAGAAGAATCCAACAAACCTTCTGAAGAATTTGATTTCATTTTCACCCTGCTTTTGGTAAGACTGAGCTCTGTATCAGATCCTGATGTGGCCTCACCTTCCTCTTTACTGGATGAGGGCCTAGAATCTTCTCTACCATTTCTAGTCTCTCCTCTTTCCGAATTTGATTCTGAGTCCCATTTACTGCCTGAATAAGTCTTTCTTTTTGTCTTTACACCACTTCTAGGCTGTTCAGAAGTTTTCTCCTGCAACATTTTCTTTTTTGAATGATCATTGTCCCTTTCAGACTTGGTTTTGTCCTCACTTCTGTCAATAGTCAAATTGTTTTTAGTCTCTTTCTGGTTGTCTCCTTCTGGTTGAGAAAGTTCTTCTTTTTCCTGGACAGGCTGTATTTTAACAGAATGCTCACTATCTGTAGAAAAGTCTAAAGATGATCTACTCTCACTCTCTTTTCGCCCTTGAGAAGACTCTTCGTAGGCTTTACTCTTCCTGACAACCATGCTTCTTTCAGAGCTACTCTCTTGCCTTTTCTTCAATGACTGAAAATTATTTTGCTCACTGGATTCAGATTTTTTTTTGCTTCCATGTCTATCATCATCACTAAGAGAGTAATAAGATGAAGACCCGCTATAATCTGATTGGTCACTGCGGTATCTATTTGGTGACTGAGATCTGCCAGTTGACCGAGATCTTGATCTTGAGGTAGATGCACTCCTTGATCTTGTATAAGATCTAGAGTAAGATCTGCTTCGAGAAGACCTGCTCCTTGATCGTCGCCAACTATCTGAACTTCTCTCACTATGAGACTTTGAATAACCACTTCGATCACTATCTGAACTCTTTTGTCGCTTACGATAGGAGGAGGAAGTATTAACCTCTTTAATATTTGCTAAATTGTAGTTACTTGCGGTAGGCACTAAATGTGTTGTTTTAGCTTTCATTTCCTGAATTCGCTCATAGGATGGCTTCCAGGGCTTTTGTCCAGGTTTCCACCTGGAAGGTGGAGGACTGTCACTTAAGGGTATAACCGGAATATTTTCAGCTACAATAGGTTGTACTACAACTTTTTCACTCTGTGGTATTGTGGCTTTTACAGGTTCAGTCTTGTTTAGCTTATTTTCATTTAATTGTGCAGTAGTATTTCGTGGTGAATTTGAAACTGTCCTGTGGTGCCTTGAGTTAGAGCTAGATCTTGATCTGCTTCGAGAACGCGACAACTTAGATGCTGTTCTTGATCTAGAACTTCTTCTGGAATAAGACCTTGATCTAGATCTTGATCTACCTCTGGATCTGTAATATGATCGAGAATCTCTGCTTGACAGAGTTGACGAACTCTGGTCATCTTTGTCAGATTTAGACCAGTCTCTTCTGGATGAGCGTCTAGAAGATAATGAGGAAGAAGGAGACTTTCTTTCATGATCACAAGATGACTTTGTCCTCCTGGTAGAAGAACGAGAGGATTCTACCTCTGATGAGGGCGAAGTTCTCTTTTTTTTAATTTGTTTATGCTTCTTGAAATGCTTTTGTTTTTTAGCTTTCTTTTTGTGTTTTGTCTTCTTTTTCTCTTTTCGGTGCTTTTTGTGGTGGCTGGTATACCTCAGTGTACTGAGATCAGAATAGCCATTATGTGACCAAGATCTTGATCGCTGGGACAAACTTCTTTCATCCCATCTACTTGAACATGGGTCACTCAACCTTAAAAAGTAAAGCACAGAGTATTAATAGAAAATCATGAAAACTAATTTGCTTGATTTCTGCATCCAATACAGAATATCAATACAACTGGTTCTCCACAGAGCTGGATGAAGCTAAGTATAGAGAAATGTTATATTTGGTAATAAATAAAAGAGTTCCTGTGATAGGGGTACATATACATTTTTTTAAAAATCCTATTATACAGTACTATAAAATTATCTTTCAAATGTGAAATGGCTTTACTATGAAGTTATTAGACAGCTACTTCTTATCTGGGAGATAACAGCTATCAAATATCAGTTAAAACCATTACAGTTTTAGAGCGTACAGGTACTGTATTCTAAATGATGTGGTTTTGAAGCATGTAGGCCAATCTTGCTGTCCAAAATACTCATAACTTATCAGTACTGTAATTGTTATTCTTTCAAATGTATTGTGCCCATCTATACTGCAGGTGTTTGTACACCCAGTGCATGAGTCAAATTTTTGCCAGCAGTACTGCCAGATGGCACATGTATTCTGCTCTCCTTATGCTCTGAGGTGCTGGTGTAAAAAAGTATGGTTGCAGCCTCCTTCTCTGTTCCATCATATCTATAAAGTGAGAGGGTCATGAAATGTACATGCACACAACACACCTACAAAATAACTGTTTTTTCTCTGTGTGATTGTGCACATATACATTCACTGCAGGTGATGCATCAGCAATTCCCTTACAGGTGAAGGGTATTCAGATTATCTGAACAGAGATTGTAACACTGACTTACCAAAGTTGGCATTGTTATGAGACACTTGAGAGATGGCGTAATGAGTGCAAAATGTACATACAGATGACTACAATATTGCCTTTTAGATATCACCAATAGAAACATTGCTCAGAAAGTGGTGAAGTGGACACTGAATGAGAAGTTATTCTTGGTGGCAGGAAGACTTCAGCAAGGTTGTAGCAGAACTTAATGAAGTCAAGAATCCAATCTGAGATTTACTCAGTTGAACCTGATTGACCTTAATTTGCTCAGCACAGACTATGAAAAGCCTGGGAAAAGTCTAGTGAAGTCCAGGTAGAACACCAAATGTATAACTGTTTCCTCAGCTTTAGAAGAATAGGTTTTTAGGGAAAAAACATTGGAAAATTAATAGACTGACTTACATGGAACGCTGACATTACCTTAGGGTGTGGCCTAAAGAAAACGGTCTTAATGGAAACCTATAAAAGGAGGATCAGCAAGAAAATATTAATGTTCTTCAACCCTCTTAGTAGATGTGACTGCCCCCAGAAAAGTCATTTTCATACACAATAACGGTAACGAGGTTGTAGCCAGAGACTTGAAAGGGAGGCCATATGAATTTGGAAAGAACTAGCCTGAAATCTCATATAGGTACAGGATCAGACACAGAAAGGTAAACAATGAGTAGACCTTTCAAAAAATCAAGAAACAAGAAGATGAGAGAAAATAGAAAACTCATTGTTCTCGGGTGGGGTGGAGGGGTTCAGTATTCAGGCAGCCTCAGGGAGAGAGGACAACCCCAGTTCTCTCTCAGCACAGCAGCTTGGGGCCAGGTGAGACGTGCCTGTCCCTGGCCACTACAGTTGGCACAGTATGGGGGATGGGTGCATATCCCCGGCTAGAGGACAGACAGACACACAAACTCTCTCAAATGTATAGTAGATAGTTGTCCCTTTCTCTACTTCGGTCTCCTGCTGGCCCAATGCATTTATAGCTTGCTGTCCCCCCCATGGTCATTCTACAGTATAACCGTCCCTCCTACCAGACCTCTTCCTTTCAATTTTATGAGAAACAACTGAATTTCAGGCACATCCCATTGTGCTGGCACAATAAAACCCTTACCTTGCTTTAAGTCAGAGATAGGGAACCTTTTTTGGGTAGAGGGCCGCTGACCCACCAAAAAACAACAACAACAAAAACCACCCACACATTCCATTTGGGGGGAAAGGGAGAGGGAGGGCCCACACACAAGAGAAAAGCAAACAAAAAAAGCAAACAAAACAAAAAAACTCCCCTCACTGACATGGCCCCACATTCCCCTCGCACACCAGAGCCTAGGGGGTGCCTAACCTAATAGAATTTGTGTGCTCCAGCTCCATGGTGGAGTCGCAGGGCGGCTGGAGTGCCAGCGCAATGTTCCCCAATGCTGGGGGGGGGCTTGATCCAGGTGAGTTGGGGGCCTGTGGTTTCCCCATCCCTGCTCAAGTTATGATTATAGCATACTCAATTTGGTGGCCCTAGCTCTTACCATTTAGGAGAAGTTCTTGAACAGACTGACTCACAGACAGATGGACATACAGACAAAATTTCTAAAATATATAACAGATACTCAAGAGATCAAATAACCAATGTCAGTCAGGTTTAACAATATGGTTCAGAAAAAAGGTCCTATACGATACCAGTCTATGAAGAGCAACCCCATGAAGCAAAATTGAATTCACCTTATGCAGAAGGTGTGCTTCCCAAGTTATGCATTTCAGCTAGTATTATTTTTATGAATTTACAAGTTACACATTTTGACTGCACATCACCAAAATCCAACCTATCAGTTTGTTCCACATCCCTAACTTGTTACTCTGTTCCCTCTTTATTTCTGTTTTGCTAGCATTCCAGGTGAGTACTGTGGAAGTACTTGCCTGACTTACACTGAGACACAGAACGCCTACATCTTGATTACAAGTTCCCTATCTGCTTGTAACAAATGATGATTTCAGCAAATGCAAGCTGTTATTGGACATTTAGCATAGGAAGTGAACGAGATTATGGTAAAGACTATTTTAGGTTATATCACTGTTACAGTATTTGTGCTTACTGCATACTATGTATTATATATGCACTGGATTTATTTTCTCTCTTTCTCTTTCTCTCTCTCTCTCTATAAAAATTCCAATAGTCCGGCATCCAATTGTACAACACTTCCGACAGTCCGGCATCAAAACGGCAAGAGCCTAATGAGTGAGCTTTGACAAAAAACGAGTCACAAGGCAGCAGCAGCAGCAGCTGAACCGAGCGAAAAGGGTAAAAAAGGGTTATATAAAACCAATTTATAGCACCTCCTGCTAGTCCAGCATATCCAAGAATCTGGCACCACCTAGGTTCCAAAGGTTCCAGATTATCGGAAGTCTACTGTAAAAAGCGTGCAAATATTATGATATATATTTACATGCTAGCCAGTATATGTTAGTCAACAAATATGAGGGTGCTATCATGAATCAGGACACCAGACTTGACAGCCTTAAAGGGGCTGAAGTTCATGGAACTGATGAAGAAAACTTAGATTTGTGAAGTATCAAATGGGTTCCAGAGGATTTACCAGAAGATTTTCTGGGGAAAAGTCTAAAAAGTTGAAGTCCTGTTTACACTGGCATGTCTGAGTCCCTTTAAAGTGACTGACAAGGTAGCCAGTGTAATATTTGTCACTGATCTTGTGTTTTAAAACAGAAAGAGCTAGAGGGCAATTCTGGTTGAATAAGATTCCCCTGCCTTATGGCCAGGGCTTTACCACGATGCAAGATACCTCTTTCATGAGGTGGATCTTAAATCGAAAATTCCTCTGTGGTTTGGTCCTGGTGGGGAAGGAGGTACAAATAGAGCATTTGTCCCTGGCCTAAACCAGACAAATCAAGCAGCTCTTGTGTCTATTTGTGACTCAGATGATGGCCCTGCAGGTGACACACTAGACAAATTCTCTAGACGATGGCAGGCAGGCCGACAGAAAATTTAAGAGATGCTAGCAAACTGAAGCAAATGTTACAGAGAGCTTCATTGTGCACTCACTATGGGCAGTGAGAAGGAATTGAGAAGGAGGATGCAGCCAGGCCCCTCTTATGCCTTTGCCTGAGGGTGTGTCCAGACTACATGGATTTTTCGAAAAAAGTGGCCTTTTTTTGAAAAATCTTTACCTGCGTCTAGACTGCCACCACAATCTGTCGACAGTAAATCGAAGAACATGGCGGTTTTGTTGACTGCGGAAAACCTCGTTTTATGAGGAATAACACCTTTTTTCGAAAGCGCTCTTTTGAAAGATGCTGTGTAATGCAAACTGTGCTTTTTCGAAAGCACTGATTGTAGTCTAGACGCTCTTTCGAAAAAGGTGTGTAGTCTAGACGTAGCCTGAGAGAAAAAAGAAAGCAGGGGCACGCTGACTACATAGTGGTACTGCAAAAGTCTCTGACTCACGTGCGTTAGGCACACAAACCCCTGCACTGGAATGCGTGTGCGCACAATCATTCAAAAGAGAACTATGAATTAATAAGCTACGTTGAAATCCAAGCTTAATTTTCTCATACTTTTTTGTGCTTCTCTTCCAAATAATCTTACAATATATAAACAGGCAGAAGTTAACAAAATATCCCAATTGCTATGTACACCTAATGCTATTATTCAATAACCATCAGATAATGGAACAAGTCTTTTCTATTTTTATTATTCTGAACTTGAACAGAATGACTTCTCATTTTACAAAGCAAGTAATATATATAGCATTGTTAAATTTGTAGTAAAGGTCTTACTTATCTCCTTTACTCCACTTCTCTCCACTGGGTGGTCTGTAAGTTCGTAACCTCTGCATCTCCTCCTTCCAATGAGGAGGGGTTTCACTGCTCTCATCATCATCAGATTCAGAACAGGATCGTGATCGAGGTGGTGTGTGGTATCGCTGAAATAGTACAAAAGCAGGATTAAACAAAGGGGAAATAGGACACCAAGTACCTAGTAGGAGAGAACTGAAGCAAAACCATAATAGAGCAGGTCTCAACAACACAAGTTAAATCAGGAGTCTCATTAGTAAATTCATAGATTTTAAGGCCAAAAGGGACCATAATGATCCTTTAGTCTCACCTCCTGAAAAACACAAACCAAACAACCTCACCCAGTAATCTCTGCATCAAGCCCATAAAAAATAATTATATACCCTACAATGAGTGTGGTTCCTTAAAGTATGTTGTCCACATGGGTTCCACTCTAGTTGGGCATGTGTCCCATGTGTAGGGCTCGACAAATCCGCTTATCTACTTGCCCGTGGCAAGTAGATTTCAGCCGGTTGCCCTGTTCACCGGTGGTTTGCGCACGTGCAGTGCAAGGCTGGCGAGTGGTTTTCGCCGTGGTTTGTCAAACCCTGCCCATGTGCAAGAAATCTGACTTGCTTTGTCAGTAATCTTCACTTGAGGGCCTCCAACTGAGGGCATAATAAGCTAAGCAAATCCAACTTTCCCTCAGTTCCTTTGTCAAAACAGAATCTCAGAACTGTAAGATTCCATTATAGCATAGGAGGGCAGGCTGCAGAATCCACATGGACAACACTTCTCAAAGGAGAACCAGTTACTGTAAAATAACAAACCTTTCTTCTTTGACTCTATGTGTATTCCACAAACAAAACATTTGTCTGTTGGCTTGGAGGAGGTGGTTAAAGTCCTATTTATATTTAACTGCAGTACACCTCCTTCAAAAGGAACTTCTAATCAGGAAGCCTCTAGCAATGAATACTAGCTTGTAAATATGCAGACCCAGGTCCATGGAACTGTTCTACAAATTACAGAAATATGGACATTTGTCAGTCAGCCTAGGATCTAGTGTAATGAGCTCCAATATGGTTAGGTAGATCAAACCTGGCTAACTCATAAACACGACCTTGGAGACCTACTTAGATAACATCTGAGTGTATATAGGCTGTTCCTTAACTCTATCAGCAAAGGCTAGAAATACTCTTGGCAGGGCTCCTGAATGGTGTCAATGTAAAGAGATAGCGCCCTTTCTGTATGAAGTTTATCTTCTTCCAGGGCTAAGTGAGACATGGGAAAGAAAACTGGGAGGTGAATAGATTGGTTTATTTGGAACTCAGACAACCTTGAGACAACCTGTCTTTATGAAATGTGTATGGGGACCCAGAACTCAGACAACCTTGAGACAACCTGTCCTTATGAAATATGTATGGGGACCCGAATCTTCCCTACCCTGGAAAATGATGTAATGGCTACTAAAAAGGCAGTCTTCATTGGTAGGTGCCATAGAGATTGATTGCTAAGAGTTCAAAGGTAATACTAACGTCTATTGATGGAGGGAGCTCCAGAGGGGAGTAGGGTAGGAATGAGCTTAAAGAATCTTGCCACTCCAGAGAAAAACATAACATGGCTAAGGATGGGAGGGTGATGCTGCCACATGGACCCTTATGGAGCTGAAGAAAGCCCAGACAGAAAACCTTTTCCATTTATCTCTGTTAAGTTTGGTTAAAGGTTTCCTGTTCTGCAGCAGAATATTCCAAACTTCAGTTGAACAGCTTCTTTTGCTTTGTGTCATGCAGCCAGGATCCAGACTGTCAGACATAATGAAACTGGGTCTAAGTGGCTGTTGCTTTGCAGGACTATATTAGGCAGAGCCAGCAGGATGATGGTGGGGCTGTGTTAAAAGGTTCATCAGATCTGAATACCACAGAGTCTTGCCTCAATTTCCTCAGAACCCTTGGTACCATGAGAATCAACAGAAAGGCATATATCAATCTAAGTGTACAATGGACAAGGAATACATCTACCAGGGAGCCTGTGCTCGACCCCCTTCTGGAACAAAATGTCTGACACTTCTTGTTCTGGTCTGGGGCAAATAAGTCTGTTTCTAGGAATCCACACTGGAGTACAATATTCTGCAGAACGAAGTCTGACAAAATGCCCTAGTTATCCGAGGATGTCGGCTGAACCGATCTGCCAAGGTATTCGGAAGGCTGAGGTGGTGGCAAGTCACTGATCTGAGTCAGAATGCATCAACTCATGAGCCAAGTGGTCTTCTGACAGAGCACAGATGCAATCTTTCTCCCTCTTCTTTGCTGATATAATGCATAGCTGTGGTGTTGCCTGTCAGCACCTGTATTGTGGATTCCCAGAGTTGAGGAAAGAATGTTCTGTGTATGATATGAATGGCTTTATGACATTTAAATGGAAGCAAGCTTCTGGAGAGGACAATAGGATTTGCTCCCCACCTTTGAGTGATGGAGTCTGTCAGCAGAGTCATGGTAGACAGAAGTGTACAGAGAGGTCCTGTGTGGCCCACCTGCTGTATCAGCTTAACAAAGAGGGGACTCCTTGGGGGACTATAATCATTATGTCCATTCAGTGTCACTTGGGTAGATACAATATGCACAAAATACAGATGAAGTCTGGCAATTTCTTCACAAATACAAGAGACTGCATGTTCATGAAGCTTGAAACATGTTTCCACTGATATTCTGAGTGACCCCTGAAGTTAATAGATGACATCTACTATTGCTTGGAATCTCTGCTATGGAAAATATACTTTTTACTGATCTGGAGTCTACCAGGACTCCTATTAACTCTATATACTGAGTTCCAGTCATTGCGATTTTTTGTCTGCTGACCGGGAGAGCCAGTGAGGCAAACAGCTGTGAATTACTTGAACTGAAAAGATGACCAGTTGGAATGATCTGTCTTTGAATTAGCCTGTCATTGAGGTAAAGATAGAGTTGGATTCCTTATCTTCTTAGATGAATTCCTATAACTGCCAAGCATTCAGAGAACACTCATGGTGTGAAAAGACTAAAGGGCGCAGGACCCTGTACTAGTAATGAAATGTTCTACAGGAAATAGCTCAGATTTCTGGTAGGGCTTGCTGGATACCCATAATCAGACATCTTGCAGGCCAAGAACCGCAAACCAATCTTGAAGACCTAATGAAGGAATTAGGAGGCTAGAATCACCATCCTGAACTTGAAATTGTGGATATAGATATTGAGCTATCAAAGGTCCCACTCGGGCCACCAACCTCCTTTTTTCTTTAGGATAAGAAAGTAATGGAAATCAAAATCCCATCCCTGACCATGAGATACCATGCTTGGATTAAACATTACACTTCACATGTGGCTCATGTTATTCATTGTATATAAGATGAGACCTATGTTGACTAACTTACCCAATTACATATGTCTCTTATCTTGGCAACCAAACCCCATCAAAATAGAGACTAAAAGGCTAATACATTCAAAGAGCCCTCCCCCAACCACTGAATTTTCAGATCCCAACAATGTCACTCTACTTTCTTGACCACATATATGTAATAATAAGATGAGCATTGTTACTACAACTGGAGACATGAACAACAGCCATAATGCAAAAGACACTGTACAACTTTCTTATCTCTGTGCCTTACAATCCTGAGGCTTAATGAAGGCTGTTGTGGGGCACACTGGCAAATGGAGAAAGGTTGCAGCTATTGTCATTGTGTCTGGCTACTCCTGTAGTCTCCTGTCCAGGATGCCATAAGTTGGGGTTCAGTGATGATTACAGGATGAATTCAGTGGGTATTATTTCTCTCTCTAAAGTAAGTATTTCATACTTAAGTGATTTTGATGACCACTCACAACTAAGGGGCAAAATCTTGTTTCTCCTATCAGTCTAATAGGTAAGCCTGTTTTTAGTGTGAGGGGTGGAAAAATGTTTTTACAGATACACAGTTTTATTTTGCTGCAACATTTCAAAACACCAACCAGGCAAACTATGATCCTTCAACTTCAGTTACAATACAATCACATATAAACCACATGAATAATTTAAAACTTTGGGGAGTTGGTTGGGGGAGGATTAAGAGAAATATACACATACTATTGTTCCTCTTCCTTTAATTTTTCTTCCAGATTTAGAGACTGATGGCTTCTGGTCAGTCAAAACTGGTGCAGAATCAAGAAGTATCCTAAAATAAGAAGAAAAAATTGACTTCATATAAAACAGTAATAAAAACATGAATTTGTTCAGCATGCATCATTGCTAAATTAATAATGTAAAAGTATTTACCAAAAGATCCAATAAAATACAGAAAGACTGAAAATCAGTGTAATGTGAAAGTGATACTACTATACGGAGAAAAAACAGTGAGCAATGGATAGCTTCCCTATGAAATGTCAACCACTGACACAGTAATTTTCACCCAGTTAACAAGATTAACTAGCTACAGTAAATAATACTGACTTTTTGGAGAATACAGTCATTTTCATTACCTGCTAGCCACATGTGCTCTGAAAAATGCCAGGATCCCCACATCCATAAAGATATTAAGAGCTTGTCTACACAAACATTTAGTTCACAGAAAACTAGGTTGTAAATATATCCCATGCTATGCCTGTAACACACTCAGGGTCCACTTGACTCTGACAATGCGCACTAGCAAATTGCTACTCGCTCACTACACTCAAAGTATGCTATAGGAAAGAGCATTAGAACTTTGTATAATGTTTCTATTATATTTAATTTGAAGCTATTTTACAAGCTGATGATTCTTTGGTTTCTCCAGAAAGATAGGGTTTTTTAGAAAATAGGCAGAAGCATACACACATCCGAGTCTTGACCAAATTCCAATTGATCACAAGATTTAAATCAAATTTATCTTATAGCTTAAATTGGAAAGGTAATGCTTCATTTTTCCTCTGAAGCTACTCTATAAAATTGCTATGCACTGTTAAACAAGTACTACATTTTATCCTGGAGTTTCATACCGAAGCAATGGATGAAGTTATCTGTTTCTGTTGTTCGTATTTCAATTTAAGTATCTAACACATTTGGGATCCTTCAATGATGTATGGCACAATGTAAAGTTCTTACATTAGCTTCGATCTTAAGAGATTAGACTTATAGGTTGAAGTGGAAATTCCAGTGGAGACTGTTAAAAGCAGCTAAGTTACTTAATGTTATGAATCTTACTTTCACCACTAGGTGTCCCTCAGAGTCAGTAAAGAAAACCCTTTATTAATGGAAAGAACTTTTCCACAAAATTAAGAGAGTAACAAAAAAGGTTAAGTCTGCTACTTACGGCTCAGGCTCTATACTGACAACTGGCACATCTCTTCTCAGCAAAAATCTATTTTCAGGCACTGGGGGAATTTCTTCAGGTCGAACTACAGGTTTGTCCCTTTTTGTGCTCAAGTCAACTGACTTTTTCTCATTTACATCACTTTTGTCAGAATGGCTGCTGGAAGGGAGCAATTTACAAAGCAAAACTATTACCTAAATCTAGGCTGAAAGAGGTACAGCTTATCAAAACTGATTTTAAAAAATAAGCCTAAGTGATATATCCCAGTCACTTTAATGTTAGGTAGACTTATATTACACTGTTAGCTCATTTACTTTGATGCTAACATCTACAAGGTCAAGCCCTCATAGAACTATAGAAGAAAGGGCTCTTTATATTTAAGACAAAAAATATATTTCCTGCTAATATAATCAATTACTTCTTGATACTGTAATAAGTTACCTTAATAGTCTAAAATACAGGAAATCATAATTGAAAATAAATATCACATTTTAAAATCAAGCATCTTTAATACAGTACATTTTCCTTTACTTTAAAAATTATCCCAGATAATCAAATTAAAGCTTATCTTCAAGCATTAGTTCCTCCTTTCTAATGTATGTAAACATACTATGTTCCAAGCTGCTTTTCATTGTGAAGAGATGCAGTTTATTAGATACATTAATAACTTTTCTAAATATAATTATTAGGAAAAAAGTATTTAATTAAATCTTCAGTAAACTTGTCTTTAATTTTTAAGGATCAACCAAACTTCCAGAATTAAATACACCTTCATAATGTGTCCATAAAGCACCTATGTGATTAACATAATTTCACACATGATTTCTTTGGATTTAACAACAGAGTAGTCACCCTCTTTGGTTTGATATCCGTTTGCACCTTGGCTCCTCTTTCTTCTTCTCTTCCCTTCTTCGCTTTCTCGACTGTTTGGTTTTAGTTCTTCTCTTGCGCTTTCTTCTTTTGCTTCTCTCATTTTCAATTTCACTTTCAGATGAGGATTCTGATGAGGTTGATGAACTAGAGGAGGAATCTGATGCTTCGGAGTGAGCAGACACTTTCCTCTTTTTCTCTAAAACTTAAGACAAGACAATTATGAAAACCTTAATCTCCAATAGAGCAGAGTGTAAACTATAAACAAACATCAGCTCCTTTATTTCCCAATTAGCCAGAATTCAAAAGGAACAGGACACTTTAATGTTCATTTACATGAAGCAGGTGTTCAGACCATACATATTAAGTGAATAAAGTATCAATGAAGAAGCTGAACTATAATAATGTTTTGAATTACAGCAACAATGGGCATGGTAAAATTCTTCATTTTCTACTGAGTGCACAATATAGCTCTCCAATGTATAACTCTCTTCAGTGGGCCCTGCTCTGCAGAAGGGGCAGAGTCTTGGGTGGAAGGGGTACAGCTGGGGCTAGGGATAGGCAGCCCTGTAGTGTGGCTGGGAGAGCGCTACACCTCCCACAGGCAACCCTCAGCACTGCCCAGAGTGTACCACATGGCACTCGGACAGTGATTTAAAGGGTCGGGACTCTGGCTGCCACCACTGCGATAGCAGCAACAGCAACGACCAGGAGCTTTAGGCCCTTTTGTATTGCGTGGCCCAGGGCAATTGCCTCCTCTGCCCTTCCCCCCAGGCCAAGAGGCCTGGCTTTCTGCCCTAAAAAACAGAGTGTACCACTTTATAACTACATTTCAACTATACATAATACAGGAGAAATTTTTATATTACAATAAAAAAATTATAGTGCATGAACCAAATGAACAACTTGCATATCAGTTAAGTGTTTTATAAAGAAATGTTAATAAGTAAATGTGTGGATATGTGACCAAGAGAACTGTTTGACAAATTAAATTGTTTTTACTCTAAAATAAATTTTAGTTTGCAATAATGTGACAATGTCTTTGGCTCTTCCTAGGATAATCAGAAAAATAATAAAGACCATCCACAGTCATCTGATTTTCTTTGGTTGAAAACATCTTAAATGAACAATGCACAAGTTAAAAATTAAAACCAATATCAAGGCGCTCAGACTTAGTCTCAATGTCCATCTCCTTTCCTAGAAGCTACAGCACTTTGTTCTATCATTCATCTTCATACTTGTTTAGAATCTGTCCACCAACTAGGACCACAACAAGGGGGAAAACTTCACAAAAAGGAATATCACTTCAATATTCCACTCCCTCTACATACATCCTGCCCCATTGCACCAATACTGCAATCTATCCCACAGTCAACAAGAGCTCTTCTAACGCTTTGAAAATGAAGCTTAAAGAGAAAGTGTTTCTCCTTCTTTATCTCAGAATTGATGCTCCTCTCCTTCCCAACCAAGCCAGGAAGACCTAACGAATTTCTGCTAATTTTCACAAGATGACAAAAGGAAGAAGAAATTACTCACCTTGTGCAGTAATGATGGTTCTTTGAGATGTGTGTCCCTGTGGGTGCTCCACTGAGGTGACGGTGCATCCTTGAGCTGGTGATCGGAGATTTTTATCCTAGCAATCTCCATCTCGTGTTATTGTGTCGGTTAGCTGCATATGTGGCGCAAGTCCCTCCATTCCTTTTCTACCAAGGAATTCCTAAACAGACTCCAAAGTAAAGGGGAGGAAGGGATGGTAGTGAAGCACCCACAGGGACACACATCTCAAAGAACCACTGTTACTGCATCAGGTGAGTAACTTCTTCTTTGAGTGGTGTCTCTGTGGGTGCTCCACTACAGTTACTATAAAGCAGAATCCCCTTTAAGCGGTGGTGGGCTTTGGAGTCGTGTATGAGAGAAGAGAGATAGTTGAACTGTTGTAATGTGTAATGCTGCACAAAAAATACAATGGGATGACAGGTAGCCACCCTGCAGATGTCAATAAGGAGTACATTGTGAAGAAATGCAGTAGATGTTGCCATTGCCCGGGCTGAATGAGCCATGATCCCCAGAGAGGAGGGGGGCACTTGTTGCAAAGCTTGTAACAGGTATGGATACAAGATAATATCCATTTAGATATTCACCACTGCTTGAAGTATGTCCAGGGTGCACAGGATCATGTCCCTGATGGAGTTATGAGGCTTTGGGTAAAAAGTGGGTAACTAGATAGGTTTGTTAATATCAAAAGAGGAGACTACCTTAGGTAGAAATTTTGAATATAGACACACGTTAATCTTATCTTTGGAGAGGACTGTGTATGGCAGGTGTGCCATCAAGGCTGCAATCTCTCCTATCTGCCTGGCCAAGGCAATTGTAACTAAAAATGCCACCTTCATAGCCATATGAAAGGAGCAGGTCGCTAAAGACTTGAAGGAAGGGTTTGTCAGAGTACTGAGGACAAGTGGCAGGTCCCATGGTGGTACTGGTGGGCATATATTAGGGCACATCTTGCACAGATTAGAAAGGAAGCCATTAGTAGTATGGGAATATGATGACCCCTTGGCGTCTCAATAAGGTGTTGACCACTGCCAGTGTCTTGGATAACATAGAGGTTGTGGTTGAAAGGCTGAAGTGCGGTATATGGTACAGCAATCTTCCCCCACCGTGAATGTGAGAAATCTTCTGTGGGAAGGGTTGATGGATATGTGGAAATAGGTGTCTTGAAGGTCGAGGGCTGAGAACCAGTTCCCCTTGTCCAACACTGGAATGATAGTCCCCAATGTCACCATCTTGAATTTTTGATTGTGGATGAATTTGTTTAGTTTTCTGAGATCAAGGATAGATCTCCAGCTCCCTGTATTCTTTTGTGTAAGGAAAATAGCTTGAATAGAACCCTCTCCCATGAAATTGTGGAGGAATTGGTTCTATGGCACCTTAGCTGAGAAGGTTTTGTACTTCATGAGATGGGCCTCTGAAGAGGGATGGGGAAGAGGGAGGAGATATCATTCTATACTCCTAGTTTGTGCTGTAATTAAATGGGAGGTTGCACTGGATTTCTCTTTTTTTCTGGTTTCTAATGGCGGGGGGGGGGGGGGGGTACACAAACCACACCTTCAAAACTTTAGTTTTGACACTGATGATTGTGGCATTGTGAATGGAGCATGCTGACCCCTTCCTTCTGCCAAAATGTTTGGATCTTTGATCAAAGAGTCTATGTTCCTGTCTCTGGAAAGGAGTGTCTCATGGCCTCTGATATGGTGTATAATGTCTCCTTTTGTTCAGTGGGGAATACATCCCCAATGTGCTGTGGGTTGTGCGTGAGTCCTTCACCAAGTAGAGAACCTCGTCTGTTTTAGCTGCGAACAGATGGGTTCTATCAAATGGAAGGTCCCCTACTCTGGTCTGCAGCTCCTTCGGGATTCCCAAAGATTGTAGCCAGGAGGTACGACCCATCGTTATTGCTGTGGCCATCTCCCTGGCAGCTGTGTCAGCCATATCCATTGAAGCCTGAAGGGCAGTTTGGGCAATAGACTGGACCTCTTCAACAATGGATTGGAGGTCTGGTCTGCTTTGCTCCGGAAGGTCATCCGTAGCCTTGAATAGTTCACATGATCATAGTTCGCAAGAAGGGCTGTGTAGTTAGAGATTTGGAACTGCAGGGTTGTTGAGGAATAGACTTTCAGCCTGAAGAGGTCTAGCCTCTTGTGCTCCTTGTCTTGGGGAGTGGACTGAATTGCGGTAGCCTTGAATGGTGATGGACTGCATCCACAACCAATTAATTGTGCTAGGGATGGGAAAAGAGGAAATCCACACCTTCGGCAGGCACAAAATACTTCCTGTCTGCCCTTCTATTTGTAGGGGGAATGGAAACAGGTGTTTGCCATATGGTTTCCGAGGGCTCCATTGTGGCCTCATCAATAGGCAGGGTGATTTTTGAGGAAGAGGCCAGTTGCAATACTTGTAACAGCTTGTGCTGTTTTTCTTGCACTTCCTGCAACATGTTGTTGCTGGCCGGTCTTTTGCTTGGCTGAACACCAAGATGGTGCTGAATAAGTGGGAGAGGAATGCTGGGATGAAAATCTGCTCCTGTGTTCGGTGCCAAAGTCTGTGCAAGGGGAGGACGGCATGGGCAAAAAGGAAATGTCCTCTTTCCGGTGCTGGTGTGGATTATCCTCCCTAAGCATTGGGGAATGCGGTGGCAATTCACTCATGTGTTCCAGTTGTGGCGCTGCCAGCACCTGTGCTGCTCGATGCCAAGACTCAGGCCTCTTATGGGTCTTGCTTGATGTAGTCTCCAGTGCCAAAGATTGTTTAGGTGCTGGAATATCTTGTGAAGAAATGGCCTGTACCAGTGCTGTCGTCTCTGACGGTGCAGGAAGCATGTCTGACTTGGTCTTTGGTGCTGGATGGGAGACTGGGCCAGACAATGTGGCGTATTTCGTCTTTTGTTTCGGCTTCAACTCCACTCATTTAGTTGGTGCCGTCTTGCGCTTTTCAGGAGAGCTGGAGGTAGATGGTACTGGCGAATGGGCAGAGTGAGATGTTGTCAGAACCGCAGGTTGGCGACCGTGCCACTGATGCCTTGGACTTATGGGAGTTTCGGGACAGAGATGAATGGACTCTCTTCCTTGGAGTTGAAGGTTCCAATGCCAGTTTCTTAGGCTCTGATGGTTGGAGGGAATTCTCCCACAGTATGTTCTTGATTTTCATCTCCTTGTCTCATCTTGTTCTCACCATCATGGTCTGACAACGTTGGCATTTCTATGCAACATGGCCTTCACCCAGACATCTTATGCAGGAAGCATGCACATCAGAAGCACTCTCTTCCTTGGAGTTGAAGGTTCCAATGCCAGTTTCTTAGGCTCTGATGGTTGGAGGGAATTCTCCCACAGTATGTTCTTGATTTTCATCTCCTTGTCTCATCTTGTTCTCACCATCATGGTCTGACAACGTTGGCATTTCTATGCAACATGGCCTTCACCCAGACATCTTATGCAGGAAGCATGCACATCAGAAGC